CTTACGTGAACTTCGAATGCAGTAAGATTTTTAAATTTTTTAGTGTTTGTTCATCTCGGCATATTCATTGGAGAAATCGTGAAATTGAAGAGACGTCTGTAGTTTCATCGACGATTCAGAACTTAACTTCTTCTGCAGATAGTGGAGAAAAAAACAAAAATAAGTCTGTAGGTGGCGTATGTCTCTTGGTCAAGCACTGTTTCAGTGAAATGTCTGCTTGTTTCGCGTTTTTTAACATTTAGCTTCAGATTTTGTTGTAACTGCAATTTCTGCTAGAAAAGTAATACATCGTCAAGTAATTTTGACCTCGGGTATCAGAGGAATTATTAAGCTTTTTTTGAACTTCTTTAAAGTTAGAAATTACTTTTAAAAGACTTAGTGGTTTATTTCTATTGCAGAATGCATCTCTTTCGTTGGGAGATTTGTTGGCTATAATCGATAACTTGTACAGCGAATCAAAAGCAGTACGAAATCATCTTATTGAGCTGTTGCAGTCGAGAAGAAGTGACGAAGAGTTACAGGGCGAGGTTTCTGCCTACATATTTTAGAGTGTCTGCACATAAGCAAAGTCTTCTTGCAGTTATTTTCGTCTTTCAGCTAATTGATTTATTCGGAGTCGAACAGTTTGAACTGGTTTTAAAAATTCTTGAGTCTAGAACTACTTTGAAAAATGATTGGAAAGTGGCAGAGAGAAGTCTGAAATTGGCGAGAGTGATGCAAGGGGAGGTAATAAGTTACTCATTCATTTTCATTAGTATATTTAGTTTTTAAAACTTATTTCTTTGGTTCTTAATTTTCTATTTGGTTTGAAAGTATTTACATTATTTATTCTATCTGTTAGGATTTAAAGTTTGATCACATAGGAGGTTTGTAAGACTAAGTTTTTTTTTGCAGACTGAACGTCAAGCTGAAGTAGCTCAGTATTGTCAGCAAGTCACAGTCAGCTCCAAATTACAATCTGATTTGAGAAAAGGTGTACGAAAAGAGCAAAAAAGAGCGAAAAAGGAAATTGATCGAATGTTGAAAGGTTTTAGTGAAAAAGACAAGATAGAACTTGAGATGGCACAGCAAGAATTAATGAAAAAAAAGTCAGTTTCGAGATTTTGAAATCTTTAGATGTTATTTAAGAACTGCCATGCTTGATAATTTTCTAGGTGTCGTGACGATGAAGGAAACGCCACAGCCTCACTTTTCAGTCGTGCTACAAGTTCTTTTAAGCAGCAGGAGAGGTACCCGTTTGTATTCGATGCAATGGTTTCTAACGGTGTAAGCATCTTGGACGACACAAGGGTTAGAAATGGTTCGATAAGGCATTTAAAAATTCCAGAAATGTAGAGGTACTAAGTTTGATAAGTTTTAGTATTGTTTACCAGCTGGATCTACCAGACGTTTAACGGATACATATGAGGAGATCGTTGTGCCAGGTTCAGATCAGTCTTCAGTTGAACTCGTGAAGAACGTCTATATTAAGGACATGGATCCAGTAAAATTTTCATTGATTATTAAAATCTTTTGTACCTGAAGCGACTATTTTTTTTTGTCAAATTTATAATGTATTCTCTTTGCCATTTTTGTTGTTTACAGCTTGGACAAGTTGGTTTCGAAGGCTTTGATAAGCTTAATAACGTCCAGTCACTCGTTTTTGAACAAGCATATAAGACTCGCGAGAATCTTTTAATTTGTGCTCCTACTGGGGCAGGTTTAATTTTCTCTATTTTATTACACAAACTGGTATCATGCTTTGATTTGGTACTGTCGGCATTCTTTTTTTTCGTTATTTTCTATTCTGTGTAGTTTTTTATAACATTATGTTCCTTTAATTACACCTTTTTTTACTAATTTTTTGGATTTGTAGGTTTTTTTTTTATTGACTTATTTGGATTTTGCGCATTTCCTAACTCAGAGGGGTGTTCTCAGCTAAAAAAATTCCTGTAAAGCGTCAACTGCAAAGTTGTATTGTTGCACATTTGCTTTTGTCCTGAAAGGATCTTGCTAATTATTATACGGTATTAAATTTTAAGGTAAGACAAATATTGCCATGTTGTGTATTCTGAATGTTGTACACGGACATATGGTAAACAATGAGATTCAGAAAGACGATTTCAAGGTATAGTTTTTCATTTTGAGGGAAAACACTTATGTCGAAAAGGAAGTGAGAAGTGATGTATTTTAAGATAATTTATATAGCTCCAATGAAGGCGCTAGCAACCGAAATGACTAATGGTTTTGGAATACGTTTGGAAAAACTTGGTTTGAAGGTTCGAGAACTTACAGGTGATACAACTTTGTCACGAAGGCAGATTGCAGAGACACAGGTCACTTTGTGCATAAATAATATTACGTTGCCTACTAATAAACAATTTCCTTTTTGCGAAAAGTTCTGATTAATTCAGTTTGTGTGACCTACCAATATAATCATTCTTAACTAATTACTGTTTCTTTTTAAATCGGGTTGGCCAAGTGTTCTTTATAAAATTGTTTATGGAAACGGAATATACTCTGTTTTCTGCAAACACTGTTTTTTAAGGTTAGTATTGTACCAATTTTGTAATTAAAGATGCTTGTTCTTACTCCGGAGAAGTGGGATGCTGTAACGAGAAAACCAGACGATGCTATAACGAAATTTGTTCGATTGCTAATTATTGATGAAGTGCATCTTTTGCAAGATGAACGTGGTCCGGTGATCGAAACTATTGTTGCTCGAACATTACGCCAGGTTAATTATATAAACTTACTTTATTAAATTTCTTCACAGTCTTGAAGTTCTCTTCTTTAGTAAATAACTATGGGTCATTGGTCGGACACATGACATTTCATTACTTATTATTGTTATTTTTTGATTTTGGGCTGTGGCACTTTGTTTGGGCCTTGTTCTGAAGTTCTTTAGTTTACAAGTGGATACTGAAGAGTTTTCGACAGTTGTAGTTTCTAGATTATGAAAAAAAGTGTAAACTGATAAAAATTTTAGAGCGAAGTTTCAGTAGTGTACAGCAGTGTACTTTTTCCTGCACAAAAAAGAGTGATGAATAATGGGTTACCATTGTTTTAGTTATTGTTTTGTGACTTTGCTCGTTGTGATTAATGCAATGTAACTATAATCAGATTTGGCTTTTGTTACTCATGCAGTACTGTTTTTAACACTTATTTCGTGCAGTTCAGGTTGAAATGACCCAGCAAGGTGTCCGGATAATTGGTCTTTCAGCAACGCTTCCTAATTATGTAGATGTTGCTAACTTCCTTCGAGTTAATCCGTATAAGGGGCTGTTCTTTTTTGACAGTAGATTTCGACCTGTTCCATTGACACAGACGTTAGTTTTGTCACTTCTTTTGTGCTGGTTTCGTAGTTTGATTATCAAGGGTTTTGATTCTTCAGGTTTGTTGGTGTCCGTAAGCCATCTTACTTCAACCTAAAGAAGTTTGCAAATCTAATGGACGACGTGTGTTACGAAAAGGCATTATCATTTGTGCGGCAAGGTCATCAAGTTTTAGTTTTTGTACACGCAAGGAATGCGACTGAAAGGCTGGCTTTGTATTTCAAGGAAAAAGCTGGACGAGAAGTAAATATTTTTTGAACACTATCATTCTACATTTTCATTGTTAGAATTTAATACAGCTCAGTTTCAGGGCGACTCCAATTGTTTTTTGCCTTCTGACCTAGGATCTTCTCAGTACGTTGCAGCGAAAAAGATGGTCAGTTAACTGTCTCGTTGAAGCTTCCAATTTTATTGTTTTCTAACTAATCTGCTAACTTTTTCTTCACTAGAAAAATATCCAGAACTTATTTATTTATTGGCAAAAACTTCAGACGGAGAAATTTCGGAACAAAAGATTGTCGGAATTATTTCAATCCGGCTATGGTGCCCATCACGCTGGGTTGATCAGGCACGACAGGCTTCTAGTAGAAAAATTGTTTGCTGCTGGACATATAAAAGTACTCTTTTGTACTGCAACTCTTGCGTGGGGTATAAACCTTCCTGCATATGCGGTTATTATTCGAGTAGGTATTCTCATGTATTTCTGTGAAAACACTTTCAATGGCTTTCTTACGTGGCCCAAAATCTATTTTTCAGAGGTGATTCGATCTAAATTCAATTTTTGTACGTTTTATGGGGTAAAATTGAATAGATGTTGCTTTTAGAAGAGCAGAAAGTTCCAGTTTTGCATCTTCTTGTCATGGTTTAAACTATTTAAGGGAACTGATGTGTTTGATGCACAAAAAGGGGTTTTCACCGATATTGGTGTGCTGGATGTGCAGCAGATTTTTGGTAGGGCTGGTCGACCTCAGTATGAAAAGAAAGGTAGCTTTTTCCACCTCGTGATTCTTTGCTTTCACTATCTTTTTTCAGTCTTACACAGCAGTTAATTTTTTATAATAAACAGGTCTTGTCTTCATCTTTATGAATTGTTTAATTTAGAGAAATTTAGTAAGGCTTTACTGAGCGGTTTGTATAGTTTAGAGCAATTTATTATTCCACAATCTTTATAGAATAGTATTTTCAAGTTGTGGTACTAGTGTTGGCTTTTCTTCTGTTACAGTTTTAATCAATCTTTTCTCCTTCGAAGAGGCTCACAAAACTGTTTGTATTTTAATTCTGGAACACTGTTATTGTTTTGCTTCTCCCAGTATTTTTGATTTGAGGACTTTCAGGGCACGGCCTAATATTAACCCTTCATTCCAAGTTAAATAAATATGTTAGTATGCTGACAAGTCAAACTCCGATCGAAAGTCAATTTATGAAAAGCCTGTTCAATAATCTTAATGCCGAAATTGCATTAGGTAGTACTGTCTTTTATCTGTTCGAAAGATATTTTGCGATGCCTAAAAGGGTAAAGTAAGACACTTTTACAGCTACACTGCTTATCGTAAGGTTTGAGAAGTCAACGTTTTTTTTCTTCATCTTTCCTTTTGTTCTTTGAATTTTAACCTCACACATCCTTTTCACTTTTATATTTTTCACATTGGATTTAGGGACAGTTTCTAACATCGCGGAAGGTGTAGAATGGTTAAAATACTCGTATTTCTATATCAGAGCTAGACTCAACCCATTAGTCTATGGGATTTCGCTTGAACAGCTTGAAAGGGATCCGGATTTAAGTCAATATTTAGAAGCAAAAATAAAAGAGGCGGCGGAAATGCTTGACTTCAACCAGATGATTCGTTTTGATCCAGCGTATGTTAAACTTCCTTTAGGCGGTTTTGAATTAAAGTTTTTTTCATTTCGTGCCTGGCTAGGATTTTTGTCATTTTTTCATTAATTTTATTTAGTGAGGTCTTACCAAAAAAATTCCTGGTTATGTTCTTTGTTTCTTAACTGACATATTCTTTAGAGTTTATGCCATGGTTAGTATCTTTTGGAGACCATATATTTCAAGCATTTTGTTTGGATAATTTAGGTCTCTTGTTATTTGAACTGAATCAAAATAATTATGGTTTCAAAAGAGTCATACTAAAGAAATTTGAGAGGAAAATTGCTTGTTATGCTGTCTGAGGGTAAAGAGTAGTGATTGGTAGGACTGAAGAAGCAGGACACCGCAAAAATTCAAAGCTGAAATTGTTTTAGGACTGGATATCTTCACGCAACAGATTTGGGCCGTATAGCTTCTCATTACTACATTAAGTACGAGACTATTGAAACCTTTAATTTTGGTGAGGGAAGGGCCAAGTTATCTTCGATGATGACTGATCAGGACATCGTGTGTCTCCTTTCTCTGGCATCTGAATTTGCCCAAATCAAAGTCTGTAATTATTATTACTTGCTTGTTTTTCTTTTCAATTTTTCTAACTTTGTCATTGCATTTAAGAGTTGTTTTATGTAATAATTGAGAAAAATCATAAATTCATTTTGGAGACCTAAGTGGTTTAGCTTAAATTACGGGTAATTTATAGTGACAAATAAAATTAGAAAAATTTTTGCTTCAAGTTGCTTTCTAGGTGCGAGACGAAGAGTTAGAAGATTTGGACAAATTAGTCGTTGACGGGTGTCCGTTAAGTCTCAAAAAAGATCTTTTAGCTACTGTTTCTGGTAAAGTCAATTGCCTCATACAGGTGATTACTAATTCTTATGCAGTGTCAGTTGTTGGCTGTTACCGTAAATTACACTAGCTTACTTATACTTCTTTTCGTGATACATAGTTTTTGAAAGC